TTTATAACAGGAGAAAAATCTTCCAACAACCTTTTGAACTCACTGCACCTGTTACTTAATGTATCATCATCCAAGCATTGTAACCCACATTCTCCCCACCTCCAAACTGAATCCACCCACTATCCCATGTAAAAAACAGATGAAAATTTCATTGAGGTATAAGAGAATAACTCCGGGAAAGCTTCAGCAAGAGTAAAGTCTCTGCACCATTTCCGCAACTAAAAAAGAATTTGTTTACCATCTCCAATTTTATAGAATATTTTACCTGCAAAATCGAAACCCGTGTTAACCGTAACCGCATCGATTTTAGTCAAATCCTTTCACCATGTTGAAGCCGAGATAGAAGCTTTGTACTGATCCTTCAAAAGCATTAAATCCTCACAATCCACGTATCTCACTTCTAGTAATTTCTTCCATAAATCTTCCTTTTTCCAAAAGAATTATCCATTTTCATTTAGTGAGCAAAGCTAGATTGAATTCATCCAAACTTGTAATGCAAAGACCTCATAGTTCTTTATCTTTGCATACCATCTCCCATTTTACCTAATGTATCTTCAAAGAGTCCTCCGTTCCTCCCCAAAGAAATCTCTACCGCAATTTGTCAATCTCTTTACTAATATGCACCAGAACTCTGTAAAACGAGAACACAAAAACAGGGAGGCTGCTCAAAACAAAATAGATTAAAGTTATCCTTTCTCCAAAAGATAAAAACTTTCCTCTCCATAATGCTAACTTCGATTTAACTTTCTCAACAATAGTTATCCACATTTTAATACGTCTCAAGTTAGAACCAATAGGCAAACTGAGAAAGTTGAATGCTGAAGCCTCCACTTTACAAGCCAAGAAGTTGGATGCTACCAATAAGAAATGGTCACTCACATTGATCCCAATCAATCTGCTTTTTTGAAAATTTACTCCCAACACGAATCCCCTTAAGATCCCTTTGATACACCAAAGATTCTTCCAATTACCCGCCCCAACAATCAACATATCATCTGCAAATTGAACTAACTCAATAGAAAGATTATCTTAAGATTATAACCTTCAAACTCCCCAATACAAAGAAATGGAAAACTTTTAGGGTAGTTTTTAAAAAACGTGGGCTATACTTAATAAATAATAAAAACAAATAATAATGAAAATAATAAAAAGAAAAAAAAACAAATTAATACTATAAATAGTAATAAATTAAATAAATAAAACAAAAAATTAAAATGAAGAGAACAAATAATTAAAAGTAAAATAATATATTATAATTAAATTATTCTAATAACTAATTCTTCCCAATTTATCTCTCATCTTTCATACTTATATGTTAAAATTGTTAATTTTTAATTGGATGACAATGTAAAATAATTTTACACTAACATTATATTCTAATTAATCTCATAATAAAATTAATAATTTAATTGAAATGCACTGACAATATAAAAGGATTTTACACAGTCAGTTAATCATAAACGTTAGATGTTGCGAGAAGTTTGATTTTCATTTTAACCATTATAAAATAATGTAAATAGATGATGATGATTAATTGATCGTATAAAACTTTTTACATCCATTGACAGTGCATAATAATTAATATCTAAAATTAATAAAAAAGATTAGCTAAGTTTTATAATAAAATGAAAACTTTTATACATATTAGAGGGTAGTTAAGTTTTTAAAAAAACATGGAAATAGAAAACTTTTATATATAAGATAATAGTTTTTAAAATAATGTGGGTTATGCTTAATAAATAATTACAATAAATAATAATAAAATGAAAAATATTAATTAATAAGATAAATAATAAAAAATAAAATAAATATAACAAAAAATTAAAGTGAAGAGAAAAAATAATTATATTAAAACAAATAAGAATAAAATCAATAAAGTCATGGATAGCTAAGTTTCAAAAACATGCTTATGCTTAATAAATAATTAAAACAAATAATGATAATATTAATAAAAAAAAAAGGCTAGATAATAAGATAAATAATAGTAAATTAATAAATATAAGTTAAAAATGTAAAATTATGAAGTCATTCTTAATTTTGACGCCAAAATTGTTTAAAAAGTTAATGTTTCAGGCTGGTCCAATGGTTAGACATGTCTAATCCACTTCTACACTCAGAACGACCCAATAGCCTTAACTTTGCTAGTTAAGGGCGAACTGAAGCTTTCTCTCCTCTGTACCTCTACAGAGAAAGGTTGGCCAACTGACTCTCAGGATCAGCCGTCCCTCTTCATATTCTTATCTGTCACGCACGGTTTCACCATGCAAAAACAGTTACGGCGTCTGTGCCCGCGACCACACCTTTGCCCGTGGCAACGACTGGTTTCGAGCATATCTGTATGTCCCAACAGCTAGTTTCTGACAGTTACCTATTCTTTGGGAACGAATATCTCGCTATGAAAATAGGTACCAATGGTCAAGCGTTGGAGGTATTATAAAAATCCTCTCACTTGAGAGAGTCAGGTATTCTAAATTATTCCAAATCACCATAAGACATATATTTTTTGTACTTGCCTTCTCTTCTTCCGATTCTTACTTTAGCATCGGAGTGCCTTGCATGTACACCCCTTTCTCATCTTTGCAACCCAACATCACCGACAAAGAACTGCCCCATTTCAGATTCTGATCAGACGTCAAGATCAGTTAATATTTATATACATATAAGATTCTCAATTTTGATGTCAAAATTGATAAAAAACTTGACAACTTATATATATAAGATATCAAACAAATTTTAAACTCAACAACAACTATAAAGACAACCTTAAGAAAAATATTCTAACATTTGTTCATATTAATGTTTTCTGGCTATATATTTATCCCTCGTTCTAAATAATACTGTACATTTTGCTTTTCTGGTTTTTCTTACATAGGTAAATGGTTTTCACACTACAAGAAAAATCTAAATTAGTCAGATGATTATGCCAGGTGATAATCATCTCGAAAAATAATGTACTTGCAGGATGTTTATCACTGATGCGTCAGGGTGGCAGGTGATTGTTTGGACACTTTTCTGACACAGATTTTGCCAGGTGAATTTCACTTCACAAGTCTCAACGGTTTAAAAAGTTGCGGGGTGATTTTCACCTCGCAAGCTTGTTATAAATACCACCGCTTCAGCTTTACCCTATTTCCAGAATCATCTTCTTCTTTCTCTTTTTTGAAACACTTTCTCTCTTTCTTTCCCAACCCCTCAAAATCTCTCAAATCTCTAAATTTTAACAAAAATCAAGACTTCAAGAGAAGTCAAGATTCAAATTTCTTGTTGGATTCAGATTTGCTTTCAAGTTTTTCATCAAATCCATTTACTAAAGTACACATGAAATAAATTGTTTGTTATTTTACATTGGGTTGTATGAGCTAGTTTAAATTATGTATTTTTTTTTTTAAAAGTTTGTATGATAAAAATAGTGATGGTTAGATTTGTGTATAATATTTTAGAAATTTTTGATAAAATATTTATCATTGTATTGTGTATAAACTTGTTGAAATGATAAAATATATGTTTATGACATATGTAAATAACATATTTTTTAGTTCGTTAATAATCTGTTTTTAAATTTGTTAATAACAATTTTTTTTTCCGTATTTTTATAAATAAATAATATTATAGATTTTAGTTTATTATTTTTGTAAAATAGTTTTATAATATACAATTGATATATATATATATATATATATATATATATATATATATATATATATATATATATATATATATATATATATATATATATATATATATATATATATATATATATATATATATATATATATATATATATATATATATATATATATATATATATATATATATATATATATATATATATATATATATATATATATATATATATATATATATATCTAAAAATAGAATAGTTTTATTTTTTAAAAACAGAAAAATATCATTTTTTAAATATAAAATATTATTATTAATACTATATTTCTTAAAACAGAATAATATATTTTTAAAACAGGATATTAAAATAAAAACGGAATATTTTTTTTTTAAAATCAAAATTTTTGTCAGATAAATTTTACTCAGCAAAATTCTGTATATTAAAAAATTGTCAGGTGAAATTTACCTCCCAACATTACGTCTGTTTGCTCTGAAAAGCTGCTATGCTCTACTGCTCTACATATTATCTAATATGTACTATGAGAAAAGGATTGCGAGGTGAATTTCACCCGACAATATTACGAAGTAAAATACACTTGATTAATTTACGGCGTGCTTTTCTCCTTATAATATATTGCGATTAATATTTTTACAGGATATCTGATACACCTTGCAATAGTTACATTGCGGGGTGATATTTACATTTGCGAAATATTTTTCACCTGCCAAATTGCAGTTGTTTTTTTTAGTGTTCAATAGAAACTTTGATATTTTTAATTGGCCTTAAGCTTGGAAAAGAAGAAAGTAGTTGCTTCCTAGGAAAAATACCTCATGTTGGACTACTTTGTGTTGAAGTTTCCTTCATCCAATAATAATAAAATTCACTTTTTGACCCAGCCTGCCGAATCATACAAAATTCATGAATAAATAAACAGTCAAACAAGGTTGCTACTCCTTTACCACCTTTTCACTTTTTCTTCATATTCATAAACCATCCATTCATAGTAGAAGTTACATGCACCATCTATATAAAATATTTTAAAAAATAAATATATAAAACTAGGGCAACAAACCCTTCTTTTTAAAATATCATGATACGATGTATTTATAGATACATACAGAATATCAATAAATAAAAAATTTGCATAGTGTACATAGAATCATTCAACTTTGAATAATTCAACCCATAATACAAAACTTTCATTATCTCTGAATTTTCAACGTCCTTTCCGGCCACTAGTATTAACATAAAATAATAATTTGCATCATGGCTTAATAACAAAGTATTCACCTATATAAATATGTAGGTGAAGTAGTGAACCATTTTCATCTTTAACCAGCTATATCAAAGATAAAGTTAACACAAAAAAACTAGAGTAATGGATGCTTCATCTTTAACCAGTTCAAGTCTAAGCATTTCAAATTCAAAGGCATTTCATTGCGTTCCACGACAAAGACCATGTCACGTGCACTTTGCAATTTCATGCAGAGTAAAGAAAATGGAGGAACCAAGGAATGGATCAAATTTCTACAAAATGTTATCTGTGAATCCAAAGAGTGCAACAATGGAAGAGATAAAGAGAGCTTATAGATCAATGGCACTTCAATATCATCCTGACGTGTGTCATGATCCTTCCATGAAAGAAGAATCAACTAGAATGTTTGTTCGGTTAAACGCGGCTTATGAGACTTTGTCGAATCCTATGCTTCGTGAACAATATGATAGTGAGTTGGGTTTGAGAAGTAGTAGGATGAATAATGATGTTGTTGGTGAAGAGATTTGGAGAAGTAGGTGGCAAGAACAAGTGGTTGAGTTGAAGAAAAGGTCTTGTAGACGTATGGCACAAAAAGGAAGGTCTTGGGGTAGCAGAATGAGGACACAAAACATGAAAGATACGAACTAATATAGTTTTTCATGTGTGGTAGATTTAACTTATTCTTTTTATTAGATATATTTTTAATCGATTAATAACAAGAATGATTTTTACTGGATATTAATCATGTCAACAACATTATGTTTTGTGAATGAAATAGTGGATATGGATATGAAGAAAGTAGTATAAAAATTTTAATTTTTTTCAATTGTTTTTTTTTTTTTAGCATGCAAAGAACTTGTTGGTTATTCTACTAGTTTTCTTAGTTTCTATAAAATAGATAATTTATTGGTAAATGACTTTATTTTTATTTTAAAAAAAAACTACCTAATACATTCCCAGCCACAATGTATGCAACTCGCTCTTAATATTAATTTTACCATTTTTATTCTAGTTTACTGTCTATTTTTGCATTTATTTTCTTCCAAGCTTAGATTTTTAATTTCCTATAGTTATAAATTGAATATAATTTTGAACCAATAAATCTGTAATTAAGAGTCTCGAAGAATCTAACTCGAATCATAAATTGTTCGTCGAGTTTATTTGTAAAGAGAACTCAAATTATAGATTGATCGCCGAGTTTATTGATAAAGAGCGGATAGATTTATTAGCAGCAAATTGGAACGCTCGGAGAGACATTAGTTTGTGTCAAATTCCTATAATTTCAAAGAGGAGAAACCTCAACTAAAATAATAAACCAAACGGTGATAACAACTCGATACATACCATGACTGTGATCGAAATATAGAAAAATGATGGTTGTAATATTTAAACTTGTCTTAATTTTATTTGCCATGTTGCATACCATGATTATGAAATATCGAAAATGGATGTCAAATTTTTTTTCCTTAATGGAAATCTCCTTATAGATGGGTATATGACACAACCAGAAGTCTTTAACAATTCTCAAGAATGTCAAAAAGGGATGCAAGTTGCATTGATCAATCTATGGATCGAAGCAAGCTTTAAGAAATTCAAATCTTCTTTTTAATAAAATTGTAAGACAACTTGGATTCATTAAAAACGAAGATGAGTATTGTGTTTAGTAGAAGTGTACTTGTATTCTTGATGTTATGTGTGGATGGCATGCTATTCATTGAAAATGACATCTTTACCCTGTAACGGTTACAACTTTGTTGGAGAATTGCTTTTCTATGAAAGGTTTAGGTGAAGCTACCTATAGAGATATATCTCAAAAGTTTATTTTCCTAAGTCAAAGTAGGTACATAGACAAAATGTTTAAAAATTTTAATATGCATCACTTTAAGAAATGATTCATGTCCATATTACACGACGTGTGTTTGTCAAAAGTACAATCTTCTTCAACGAAAGAAGAAATGGAGTGCAATTGGATCTATCTTGTACGACTTGTTGTATCATCGACCTTATGTCTCATATGATTTTAACACAACGAGTAGGTACTTGTTTGATCTCAGTGACGGTCATTAGATTATTGTCAAGAATATCGTTAAGTACTCGAGAAGATTTAAGGATTCATTCTTCATATTTAAAGGTAAGTAAGAGATCGATGTAATAACTTACAATGATGTTAGCTTTTCCACCAGATAAGGATGATTTTTAATTACAAACTAGTTATGTTGATTCTATCACGGAGGTCGAGTACATTGCTACCTTATAAGTGTGACTTAATTGGGAGATCTTTCCAAACATAAATACATTATTCTTTAAGTATTTTAGTCAAATTTTACTATCATATGTGGCATGAGTAATGCATAGAGGTTACTATATGAGTAGACTGATGATTGTATCTCATAAGTCATGAAAAGTATCTCTTTGGACATTTAGTGTTTGAATGAGGTATTAAGACTCACAATTTTAAAATAGTGAGTAGTTTTCTAGAACATGTATGATTTTACTATTGATTTTAAAGCCAATTCTCTAGAATCTCTAAGCTCTTGACTAGACTATTGGTACGCTGTAAGCTCGGCGGTCTATATCGCATAGTAAGATTATAGTTCCACATATACTAGCATGATTATTGATTCGTTTGTTTTTGTTTGATTAGATAAAAAAGAAATAGATTTCCCGTGGTTTAATTATTTTGAAAGTTTAGAATTTTATTCCTTATATAAGACAAACCATGTAAAACTTCGTTCCTACTTTGTCACAATAATTTCAGCCTTTACAGATTAAATAAAAAAAAATTATATCTTCTTTCAGAGTATATAATCGTATCTTAAATCACTAAATGTCCTATTTTCACAATTGATTAAATGATAAGACCTATTAAGGAAAGTTATTTGTAAAAACATAACTTTCTCAAATAAAACAAAACTATTTCTACCTGTTGATTTAATTGTGTAACCTTTATGTATTGTCTATTAGCTTTCACCTTTCAATCCATCAACTGGTACATGATATTGTCTCTGAAAATAGACTACTAATTGACTCACGTGAACAACTATATTATTTAAACTTCAAACACACCCAATTGTACATGTACACCAAAATTCTAACACAACTCTCTCTCACACACACAAACACATCCCAACTATTCCTTAACATCTAATTTCAACACATGCAAATCACAAAACATCAATACCAATTTAACCCATAGTTTTCACAACAAACACTATCCAAAACCCTCTCAAATCCAGGATCATAAATGCAACTAACACCTAAACCAAACTACGACTTTCAAACATCCCAACAACAATATCCATTTCCCCAACACATTCAACCTACCCAAATCCATTCAAACTAACAAACTTTTACTACCTCTCCATTAAAATATCAAACCTACAAATAACATAACCACACTACTAGCTCAAGTCGGGGAACAAATTATATTTTTATAATGAGGCGTACGTATAACAACTCCATCAACATGTCACAAGAAATCCATGATATACAAAATGCTATAAATGAAAGAGAAAGTTTTTCACAACCACCAAAAAATGCAAACAACCAAAGAGTATCTCGTATGGGTGAACGACAAAGAACACCTTATCGATGCGGAACTGAAGATCAACTACTACGACCCAATCAACGACAACAATCTTTTTTTTTTAAAATTAATTGTTAATCAAGTTTTATAAATTCATTTTTAATATTTGTTTGATCACACACACGCACACGCGCGCGCGGGCACACACACGCACGCGAGGGCATACACACACAAAGTTACTTTTTAGTTACTAAATTTCTACTAATTTTGAAATAATTATTATTTTTAATTATTTAAAATATTTTATTTTAATAATTATTACATTAATTTATTAATATTTTAAATATTTTGCTAAATTATAGTTTTGGTCTCCAAATTTTAAGTGATTCGCAAAATTAGCCCCTCTATTTTAAATTCAAACAGTTTTAGTTCCGCTATTTTAAATTCAAACATTTTTAGTCTTCCTATCATGGTTTTTTTATAGAAAATCAATGAGATGCTTATTTTTAACTTATATTTTTATCTATAAGATTCAATAATATGTTTATATATATATGATGATTTGTCATGTTTCACAAGTAACTAGTCATTTAAAAAATAAAAATTTCGTTATATTTAAGTGCAGAAGTATAAGAAGGGGACCTGTCGTGGTGCGAAAAATACTCGAGCCTATCACACGCTCGAAAATATAACAGAGTTGCCAGCTGTTGCACTGCGAAAATACATAATCGCTACCGAACTTTATATGTTTCAAAGGAAAGGAAAAATATCGATAAAATCCTTAAAGAAAAAAGAAAATGGTCGTCGTAACCAAATTCAGATTCAGAAGTCGATTATGCAAGGGGAAAGTATTAGCACTCATCACATCTGTTGTACTCAACGATAACCGTTTTGATTGTTCTTTGCGCGAATGTGTGTTATTATCTAAATGTTACTTGCATTGGTTTTAATGTAGGGGAAAATAAGTTTTTAATTAATGTGTTTGCCAATATTTTAAAATCTTGTGCCTAAGTATTCTCATAGTGCAATGAGAAAATCAGAGCTCTGTAGTTTGTGGAGTTGAAATTCAGCGTTTGTTGGTTGTTTTTATTGAACGATTTTAACGTTTGCATTCTAGTAGTTAAACGTTACTTGTATACTCGCGCGTGAGAGGTTTAAGTGTTATTTGTACTGCGGTGGAATGGAAATCACACATCAAGCTTTTGAATGCTCTAAGGCGAAAAATTGAATTTGATTGGTTGTGATTGATTTTAGTCTGAAGAAGGATATTTAGGCAGGGAGCTATACAATAATATCTGAATATTCGGGGAGAGAGAGTCTACATTCTCCTCCTTTTTCTTCCTTTTATTATAAAAATTTATCTTGATTTGAATTGCACTAAATTCTATGAATGAAGGTGAATACTTTGAACAACTGGGTCAGGCGTCCCATATCTAAAGATACTCAGAATAAGGGTAGAAATATATCCCTCTCATTTTCTCCATTTCTTAAGGCTCATTTGCGCATAATTCATATCATATTTTTAAAGTGTTTTGAATTTATTTGTGAAAATAAACTTTAGTTTTATTGTGCTATAAGGAAAAGAATGAATGTTATTGATCTTACCGAACGATCAGAATCTGAGATGGGCCAATGGCAAACGTCAGTGATGCTGGGTGTAAAAGAGGAGGAGGGGGTGTACCTGCAAGACACTCCGATGCTAAAGTAAGAAAACGAGTAAGAGAGCGAGAAAGTACAAAATATGTGTGTTTCAAGGTGAGAAAGTGGATACCTGACCCTCTCAAATGAGAGGATTTTTATAACGCCCCAAGCGCTTGGCCATTGGTCCCTATTTTCGGGGCGAGATAACCGTTTTCCGAAGAATATGTAACTGCCAGAAATAGCCGTTGGTACAGAGAGACGTGCCCATAACTAGCGGTTGGCATGGGCAGAGGCGTAGTTACGGGAACATGCGTCTTGCCTGTTTCTGGATGGTAGAACCGTGCGTGACGGGCAGAGACTGACAGAGAGAAATGTTGTGACCCAGGGTAAATAGGCCAACCTCCCCTATTGGAGGGGCAGAAAGGTAAAATATTTCTCAATGAAGTTGGACTTAGCCAATTGGGCCGTTCTGGGAGTAGAA